CTCTATGGTAGCTCTCTTAAACGACGAAATTCCACAGAGCTTGAGCTTTTTTAACCCCGGACGCGCAAGAAAATAAATATTCCATTAGCGTATAAAAAGGGTAATAGGCGCGTGGTTAGAATATCCCTATGGAATTCCAAGCTATTGTAAAAGTTTTTTGATGTTAAATGCCACATAGTGAATAATGAACTGATGAGTTCTACAGGGTGATATAATATAACCTTCAAATGATGGCATCCATCGAGCATTAATTTTGCGTATTCTTACATTCGTTCCGTTCATTTTTAATTTAGTAATTCGGCTTTTTCCTTCAAGCATCGACTTGAACTCATTGGCTATTTTCTCGAGTTCTATAATTTTAAACAATTAGAGTGTAAAAAGGAAGTCAGTAGACAACTCACGGCTTTTTCCTTTTTCCTCGTGCCAAAATGATCAACAGAAGCATNATACAATAGGTGAGATAAAAACAGGAAACGTAAGGCTTTATGTACTGTCAGTTATTATACCATGACAGCCAATACAAACTTGATAAGAATCCAAATCACGACGTTATTAAGACTCACAACTTCTAAGTTCATCGAGGACACTACAGGCCGTGACCAAATTTAAACTACATGTAAAGACGAAAAAGACTTCTGTAATCCTTCTGTGGACAAAAAGGACGATAACGACATCAAACACAAAAATCTGGCCAAAAATTAACATCGCTCTATGGTAGCTCTCTTAAACGACGAAATTCCACAGAGCTTGAGCTTTTTTAACCCCGGACGCGCAAGAAAATAAATATTCCATTAGCGTATAAAAAGGGTAATAGGCGCGTGGTTAGAATATCCCTATGGAATTCCAAGCTATTGTAAAAGTTTTTTGATGTTAAATGCCACATAGTGAATAATGAACTGATGAGTTCTACAGGGTGATATAATATAACCTTCAAATGATGGCATCCATCGAGCATTAATTTTGCGTATTCTTACATTCGTTCCGTTCATTTTTAATTTAGTAATTCGGCTTTTTCCTTCAAGCATCGACTTGAACTCATTGGCTATTTTCTCGAGTTCTATAATTTTAAACAATTAGAGTGTAAAAAGGAAGTCAGTAGACAACTCACGGCTTTTTCCTTTTTCCTCGTGCCAAAATGATCAACAGAAGCATAGCTCCTATGTACCATTCATGACATAGCAAGTACTATTCAGTCTTACAAAACAATTCACGCCGCAACCCTTGACTTTTCAAGAGCATTTGACAAAGTTCCTTATTGTCGTCTTTTGACGAAACTTGATTATTACGGAATTCGTGTCTCACCACTTAACTGGTTCGAATCGTAGTAATTGAGGGGGCATCATTTGCTCCTGTAGTCACAACATCCGGTGTTCCCCAGTGAACGGTCTTAGGACTGTTACTGTTCTTCATTGTATATAAATGATTTACCAAATGGTCTTAACTCTACCGTTAGACTTTTTGCTGATGATGCATTGTCACATTGAGCAATCTGTTTTGATGAGGATGTAGCTGATCTTCAGAATGATCATTGTAGATCAGAAGCTTGGTAACAAAAGTAGAAGATGGAATTCAATCCTTCAAAGTGTAAGATCTTATGCTTTACAACCAAAGAGATCCACCAAAGCGGGAATACGTATTCTGTGGAGAATTCTAGAAGTGGATTCTCACCCTTACTTGGGAGTAGTGCTTGATAACAAAATGAGGTGGTCCCAACATATCGAGCTAATCTCATCTAGGGCAAATAATATCTTAGGACTTATTTAACGCGATCTGTGGAACTATCCAAAGTCAGTGAAAGAAACCACGTACACGACACTTGTGAGACCAAAGCTCCAGTATGCCTGTAGTGCAAGGGACCCTCACTACTAGAAAGAAAAGCTGCTGTAGAAAGGGTACAATGAAAAGCGGCTCGCTATGTCACGAGAAATTACGATCGAACAGCGAGCGTGACGGGAATGCTCCAAGATTTAAGTGGGACAACTTAAAACAATGAGAAGATATGCAAGGCTGTCCGTTATGTATAAGAAGTGTTATGGTTTCCTAGATGGGCAATGGGAAGACCATTTGATTCCAAACAGAGAAAGGAGAACACCATGATTTTAAGTTTATTGTACCGAAAGGACACAAGGATATTTTAAGATTATCTTTCTCTCCCAGGCCCTGGTTGCTCGAACTCTGGATAGCGCTATACACCGATTCAGCCTAAGACCGGAAGTTGCATGAAAGCGAGGCCTAAGGGCTATCTTTCGCGCGAATCTCAAAAATCATGGCGGAAAACACCGAGACTTTGCATGGAAGACATGGAATGTTTTCTGATGTAAACCTTACACCAGAAGACATTCCATGTTCATCCGTGAAAAACGGAGAAGACATAAGTAAATGGACAATTCCACAATTAAAATTTTGGTTGAAATGCAGAAGACTGAACCAACAGGGACTGAAGAAAGATCTTGTCGAAAAGTAAGTTTCGCAGCACCTGCATTATATAAACACTGTTATCTAACCTTCCACGCTAGTCAACAAAATTTCGTTTTCGCTAAAATCTTTTCTTTCTGCTTTTAATTTGAGATTTCTTTCTTTTCTGGGGCAGGGTTAAGGCATTCAACGCGATTCCTTACTACAGAGAGAAAGTTTTTGACCCTGATCCTGAGAAGAGCTACACGAAAGCAAAGGCTGAAAAGCTTAAGACGCTCAATATCGAAACAGTCCAGACTGAGCTGATCGACCAACAAGCAAGCTCGTGTAGTTCGATTTTAGACACTTTCCCACCGGATGAAAACACTCAATTTTCAGAGGACTTTTCTGTTTTGCCCCCATTTGTGCCTATGGATGCCTTTGAGCAGGTAAAAAATTCTGGTAAATCCATGAAAAAATTTACCAATGCAGCAGTTGTTATAAACTCAAATGACAAAGGCCTCCGTATGGTCAATTTTGTGCACGATTTACAGGTGTATAATAACACAGAAAATAACATCATATACGTCCGTGCCTGCTGTTGGGCTTCCTATAAGAGGAATGTTAAATACAAGGTGAAAATGGTTTGTAAACAAAGTGGGACCCCAAAGATTCTAGCAGCAAAGTGTGATAGGCAGTGTCCGGCTTCCAACAGTGGGTGTTGTTGTCATGTAATGGCGCTCATATGGAAACTTGAGGACATGACGAGAAAGTCAGAGCTAAAAAATATCACTCCTGACAACAGATGCTGCACATCAAAACCGAGGGAATGGGGAAAAGGGGGTAGACGAGAAGTAGAGTTCTCTCCAGTGATGGCTTTAAAAATAACAAAACCAAGACATGCGTCTGACCTACCTGGTAGGAGGAAAAGGAGTATTGACTCTCAGTTTTACGATCCCAGACCATTGAAATCACAGAAGCTTGATGCTGATGGAATTGTAAAGCTGAGGCAAGATCTTCAGAAAATAAATGCTCGTATACCCTTTGCTGCTATGTTACCAGAGGAAAAGACAATTCAAACAGTGATGACTATAGTTGGCACTGTTGCTAAAGGTTCAACAATTCATAAGCAACTTCAAGATTATTCCCGGCAGCCTCCAAATTTGGTAGTACCGTATTTTAGTAGTTCCTCCCTTGTTGGTAAAGAAAATGTGAATCCTGTCTCAAATGGGCAAGCACTGAATTCAAATTCAAGTTTGAATCATGAAATCTCTGCTCCACCTTCCACTGTGCAGTTTGAATCAGAAACGGGACCCCTTAGCACTCCTTCTAATGATTATGATGAGCTACAGCTTCAGCAGATATCAGATTGTAATGTTAATAACCAACAGCAAGAACAGAATATTTCAAGTTTTATTGAAAGTACAATTGATCCATCTGAAGCACAACTGCCAACAGTCAAAACAGAAACATTATTTATTGAAACTCTTACAGACAAACAAAAGCAAATTGAAATGGCAACAAGAGGACAATCAACGAATCCTGCTTGGTTTGAACAAAAGCAAAACAGAATAACTGCCAGTATCTGTAAAGATGTCTTTTCTCATATGCAAAAACAGGTGTCAAAATTACCAGAAAATCTAGTAAAAAAAATTACAGCAAAAGGAGCACCCCAAAAATTGGTCAGCTATTCACAAGCTAAACATCTTAATTATAAAAGTAAAGGATTGATCTTTGGTATTGAAAATGAGCCTGTGGCAGCTGATTTGTACAAAGAATATCTCTTGTCATTGCCAGACATCAAGGAAGTGACAGTTCAAGAGACTGGATTAATTTTAGACAAAGAAAATGATGTTCTTGCAGCAAGCCCTGACAGAATTGCAACAATAGTGTATGCCAATGGTGACATTGAATACAGAAATGTGGAAATAAAATGTTTAGAGTCCAAGCAGGATATGTCACCAGAGACTGCAATAAATAATCATCAAAAGGAAAGTAGCTTCCCATTTATGGAACTGAACTCTGTCTTTGTCGTAAAAGAAAAGCACAAATATTGGTTTCAGACTCAGATGCAAATGGGGGTCAGTGGAATTCCATTAACTGACTTTGTCATATTTACCAACAACACATTTCCAGTTTTGGTTCTCAAGGTCACATCATCCTCAAGGTGGGAGGATGAAATTAAGCCTAGTTTAATTGCTTTTCACAAGAAATATATCTCAAAATAAAAACAGTGAGTGTTTTTAGAACTGCAAAGCAACACTATTAGTTTCTTGGAAAATATAAGTTGACTCTAACAAAATGTCTGCATAAGAGCTTTAGTATGTTCTAAAGCACAAGGAATGGTATTCAAGTTATACTTTACAAGTGATGGGATGGTGGGGGCAGGGAAGGTGAAACTAGATATTTTTGTGTCTTGTTTTTGAAAATTTTGACCGTTATTTTTTTAGGATTTGTCTTACAGATAGACTTTTAGGTTTGAAGAAAAGACAAATTTTGGTTTTATTTTCTATATTATTATCACCATCATCATTACTATCACAAATATATTTTCTTCAAGCACAGTCAGTCTCCATCAGTTTTAAATCTGAGTACCCAATCTATCCATGTGCATTTGATAGAATATTATTTTTGCATTTACTTTTTCACATATCAAGTCCTCCAATTATTGAAAAAACCCAAACCAGAGACTTAAATAAAGTAACAAGACCTGAACAGCTTCAGAATCTTTAGTTTAACATTCAATTCCTAAAAAACACACTTGTTAGTTCCCTGATATAAGAACCCATCCCTTCCAAAATACTGAAAGCTTCCTTTCTTTAAACTGAAATAATTGGATATTGAAAATTTACTAACAAAGCACATACAGTCCAGATCTGATTTATGGACCCAAAGCTGGAAAGAGGCAGAACTTGACTAAAAATATGCCAAGCCTTGATTCGCTTAATTGCTCTTTCAACATGAATACGCACATTTGCTATACTCATGGTCTCAAAACACTGGCTTTGTGTGAACTGGTCATTGGCAGAAAATCTCTTTGGAGGAATATATAAACTTGCTCCTCTGAGGGCCATTAGGTCATGGATCTCAAAGCCCTTGTCTGCAAGGTACTGGTCCCCCATTTCAATTAACTGACAGAAGTTACTCTTCTCCACAATTTCCTTATCACTTATTCTCCCTGGATACAACTGACTAACAAATGTTATCCATCCACTCGGTGAAATGCAGATGAGCCCTTTAAATGTGTCGTGAGATTTATAGTCTGAGTACATTTCTGAGTGCTTCTGATAATCCTTGGGCAACTCACATTTCAGCTCTGTGCAATCAAGAATTCCACGTACGTTTTCATACCTTCCTTTAAAAGAATCTGGCAAGTGTTGTTTTATTTTGTCTCTTGAAGGCCATACAAGCAAACTTCCCAACATTATGTAAAGGTAGTTTGCCCAAGTAATAAAAACATCAGACACTGTACTTACAGAGACACTAAATCTGTGTGCCAAGTCACGCTCGAATAAGCCAAGACGCACCCTTGTTAGAAACAACCACAGCTGATCGATGGGCTCTATTTCTCTCTTTCTATTTCTTTGTTTCTCCTGTCCTTGCAAAAAAGGAAATGGATTAGCATTGTTTGCGGAGCTTTCTTTCACTTTTTCGCGTGCTGTGTTCCACGACATCAGCGACTCAGAGCAAGGTTTAATAAAGTTCCAAAATGCCATCAAAGCTCGGTAACTCTGAAATCCTGTGTAGAAAAATATGTCATCATCATTCGATCCAAACCTCTCCAAACCAAATTTTGAAAGAAACAGCTTTTGTTTAAGTTCATAATTCTCGGCAGCCAAGTCTCTCTCTTCATCGAATGGTTTTTCACCTGAATCTTCGTCTTGAGTGTCCTTTGCAGAGATGTCAGGTGCATCGTATGGGTGATGTTTATTTTCCATACTCTTGGATGGGATCGCAGAAAGACCAGAAAGTTTAATCCTTTGGCATTCCCGACTTTTGGCTCTTTCGGACCTTTCAGAGGCTTCGTCATTGCCAACTGACCGTGGGAAAATGGAAGGAACAGCACTCTTTACAAGATCACGTCTTTTGCCGGTAAGGCTTTTCCTGTAGTCCTTGTCACCAAAATGCTCAGAACAGCAGAAGAGTGAGCTGTTCGAGGTAAATTTTTTGTCGCCACGCTTCATTTTTTGATCCCAGATTTTCTTAAGGTTTTCGTCCAGAGGGAAATTATGAAAAATTAAATCTGGTCGGTTATCTGAACGATTATTGCAAAGAGCAGCCGCGCAACACTTGTGACTCAAATTCTTTTGTTTACTTGAAGACGCCATGTTTATGAGATTCGCGCGAACGATAGCCCTTAGGCCTCGCTTTCATGCAACTTCCGGTCTTAGGCTGAATCGGTGTGATAAATCACTATCCAGTGGATAACACAATTGGTTTTCGTAATAATTACCCACTGGATATCTATTTATCCGGTTGATAGCGCTGATGTTCAACTTTTGGACAAAAGATAAACTTGCCAAATGAAAAAGATAAAATTGCCAAATGAAATGTTCGTCATAACATACGCATATACTGCGCACGCGCGCGCAGAATTTGAATCAGAAACTATTAAGTGACAACAGAAGATGTACAGCTACTAAGGAGCAATTTTCGCGCGTGCCTGTAGGAAGTTACAAGCTGATTTCGATAGTTCAGGCTCGCCAGATCGGGTCTACAAATGATAAAATATTATTATTACGCGCTACACAAATTTTCATCAGGAACACGGTTAAGATCTGTTATAGATGCATGCAACTCTAAAGTAAATAATTAATGGTCACAATGGCGGAATCCACCCCACGGAAAACAAACGCCGTACCATCGAAAGCATGCAACTGCCGTCAACCAGCTCATTGCCCTATGGACGGTAATTTCTTAAAATTGTCCGTGGTCTACCAAGCCACAGTGACAGCGGAGGACAACAGACCAGCCAAGACCTATGTAGGCCTTACTGAGAACTCTTTTAAGACCAGATACGCGAACCATAAGTCATCTTTCAGAGACCCAAAAAAGAGACTCAGTATAGAACTTAGCAGACATGATATCTGGCATTTCAAAGACGCTAAGATATAATTTTATACAACTTGGAAGATTTTAAAGCAAGCAGGGCCTTTCAATCCCGCTTCAACCGCAGTAATTTGTGCCCCTGTGGGAACAAATGCTAGGCCAGACCTAACTGTGGGTGGGTGGCTGCACGCTTTTTGTGTCGAAAGTAAAAGAGGTAGGGAGGGTAGATTTTGTCACTTTGAACAGAGTTTCAGGTCAAAAAGCACTGCAAAGTAAAGGAACGTTCCCTCTGTCAAAAAATCAATGTTCTGACTTATAATCATATGCTACTTGCAGAAATTGGGGGAATAAACTGGCTAGTCATAAGTGTCATGAGAGGGGAGGGGGAGTTCTTGCTTCTTGGACCTACAATCGGCGACCGTTGAGACTGATTGTTGAGACATTGTATTCAAATAGGGTAACGTCAGAGAACAAAACAATCCGCACCCCTCCCCTACCCCCTCCATTCAAAGTTGGGGTGTTTGTTGTTTTCTGTAGGTGGCTCGAACATCGGTACAACATTGTATGGGGGGGGGGGAATGGGGGAGGAAACGCTATACTTCCTTCTTTTGAAGTCAGTAAAAGGTAAAAAAGCCCAGTTGACAGCGAAGTGTGTCAAATCATTTTGTCGCCGATTGTAGCTGTCTAGAGACTGAGTGCAGGCACTTTGTATCAAATCCAGTCAGATATTAAGTGCTTATCTGGGTCCGGTGGGTAATTTGATTGCCCGGGAATGCAATTCCCATTCCCTGGGCTAGCAGATGTTGTTATGTCAGAAGCTTAGAGATTGTGCTTCGGCTAGCGAGATCCTTGCTATTTTCTGTGTGATTTTGCTAAAAGGTGCCTGCTAAGTTTTCGCTTGAACTCGGGCATCGCCTCTGTTCAAGAAAGGGTAGCCGAAAAAAACAACAACAACAACAAAAACAGGAGGCAGGTGTCAGCAGATAGCCCAGGGCCAGACTTAACAATGTCTGAGCTGAATTTCAAGCTTGAACACACCTTTGTGCTGAACGATTATTACATCCATTACAGAAAATGCCATAGAGAACTGATTTGATGACGCAACACAAGTATATCTTCCCGAGTCCTCCCGCTCTCTAAGGTTCCAGATTTTCAAAGTTCCGTCGGCACTGGCACCTGATCTTCCTGCAGGAAGCTTTCCGCCCTCCTTCCTCCACATGATAGTTGGTTGTGGATCTCCAGTGGCCTGACAGGGGACTGTGATATTCTGAACTGTGCTCACTTTAAGCTGTGATGGTGGACTAACTGTAAAATGGGGTAGCTCAACAACGTTTAGCTGCGTAACAGCCGAGTCATGTCCTAGGTTATTTGAAGCTTCGCATTTGTATAGACCAGAATCACTTTTGTGAGCATTCATTATTGACAATCGTCCATCTTTCATAACGGTTCTGGCTTGCACCAGGTTTCCGGGAACTTTATACCAAGAGATCTTTGGTGACGGGTAGTCAATTACGTGACATGCTGGTAAGGTGATGTTCTTACCTTTAACGACATAAGGCGGGCCAAACGATAAGGAAGTCTTCGGTTGACCTGTAGATAACAAAACAGCTAAAATCAAAGACAGACCAACCTCATACAAAGACTTTAGAAAGTTGTTGTTGTTGCTTGTTTGTTTTCAATTTTCGGTCAAAAGCGTTTCTTTTGTTACTAAATTGGGAAGTATACACAGTAGTAATAAAAATAAACGGAAAGGATACGGAGGGGTGGCTTAAAGTTTACACACAAGCGATTATGCCGATTCTCCAGTCTTGATACAGAGGACAGTACAGTTTGAATGAGGAGCCAACAATTATCGCGTCAGCTCCATGTTTTTGTTAAGCATCAGGAATAATTTTTTTACGGGGCGCATAAAACATCAAAACTCGCACGTAAAAAGCCATTTCTGTGGAAGGGTCCTAGGAATGAACGTTCATGTACGCTGATCACTATTTCTAAATAATCAATTTCAGCTTACTTTGTACGGCCAGACTCGTTAGTTTTTCTTCTCTCCCTAAGATATTTCGTGCCTCACACTTGTAATTCCCAGCGTCCTCTAGTCTCACTTCATTAATCTGCAGCAGACCTTCTGATGAGACCTTTGTTCGGTTGCTAGGTAACACGCCGCCTACACGTGACCAAGCCACTTGCGGGACGGGATTTCCCGAAACAGAACACAGTAAAACCGCAGTGTTACTCTCGTTCACTGTCAGGTGAGAAGACGAAACTGTCACTTTTGGAGTAGAAATGGATTCTCCCTGTTCACCTTTCATTCCTAGAATACCCGATGCACCAATATCACCTTTCACTCCTTTTTCTCCTCTTACTCCTGGTGACCCCATAATTCCTTGTTTTCCGCTTCATTCCTTTTTTATCCCTCCTCCCTCGGTCGCCTTTATCACCTTTTGGTCCATCTCTCCCAGGAGGTCCCGGCAGTCCACGCGGGCAAACGTTCCAGGTTCCAGTGTTTTGACACATCTTCTTAAAGCTCGAAGTTACAACATCTTCCAGAATAAGTCTTATTTTCGTAGAATTTTCAAAAGGTTTATTACTGGTGACCTGTCTGGTAAATCTGTGGAGGACCATCTTACTATTATCTTCCTTCTTCTTAAAATCTTTCATTGTCACATTTCCTAAACGTGTAGGTACATACGGAAGTATTAGTACGAATGTTTCCTTGACCCTGTAATATTTTTTTTCAGAATTTTTGAAACATTGCATAGAGTACGTTGACGGTTTCCCCAAGGAGTATCAAATTCCACTTTTAATTTAATTAAAAGAGCCAAAATGTCACGAGCCAAAGTCCAAAAACGTACCAGACTATTTCTATTCTTTGAATAGTGTTTTGAGCTAGGGCTATTGGCAAACTTTTTAAAGCCGATAATGGTTTAAGACAAAACTACCATAAACAATACATAAAGTCATAGAAGTTTCACAGCAACAAAATTTAGAAAATGTCTCGAAAAGTTAAGGAAGTGAAAGCACTATTGTAAGGAACTAGTCCCGATTCACAGCAATTTCAAGCCCGGTTCCTGAGAGGCTGCTGATCAGCGTTAATCAGGGAGGCTTACAATTTAAATCCATGATTGTATTTGTCTTCTAGTATCATTTTTCCGGGAAGGAGGGCACTCAAGGGAAGTTTGGGTAGAGGTGTGTTGCTGAGGCCTTCAAACCCCGACTCTGTTTGAGACAAAAATTGCTCATTTCGCCACCCTGTTTAAGACAGGAGACACTACTTTTTGAACCTGACTTGTTTTGTTTTGCATACAGAATTAAGTACTTTTTCACACTAAAATCGTGTAAATAGATATTAAGGAAAAAACATTATTGGTATAGCCCACTCATCGCAAGTCTTCACACTCTTTGAAAGGCTTCCAGTCCAAAAAGACACCCTGTTTTTAAACATGGTGCATCATGGTGCATCATTAAAAGACTCAAAACCTTGAAAACCATGTTACCCTGTTCAGCGGCACACACCCATATAGGCCGTATAAGGGAGTGCCCCACATCCCCCCTCCCCCCGGGCATTTTGTATATACCATAACGGGATCTTGTAGCATGATCAACAAAATTCTATTTCACATTACTGCATGACATGTTCTAAGACAAGAAAGCTTTGGATAGTGTTTGGCTTCAACTTGTCCGGTGAAACTTGTTGGTACTGAATCGCGTCGTCTCCGGCGCCAGCCCGTCACCGGCCGCGTCATCTTAAAACGTATTCAAGTGTTCGAGATGATTTGAAGTCTGGTTTTCATGGATCGTGCCAATCGTCCCAAACGTTTTGAGTCGATCCAGAGTCCATCTCTAGATCTTACCATAGGCTAACGGGAAACTATTTTCAAGGAGACCGCCTCGGTACTCGGTTTATTACAACCGAATTCATCGTAAGATGAGATTTCCTGTCAGTATAATATCCGCATCATCATTTGTTGATCTCTATCACTTTCCACTTATTCAGCAGTCTACCAGAGAAATGACATTTTTGTATAACTGCTTGATGGCACAAAGCAACTTACGAATGGCGCGAATACAACAAAGATCTGCATAACGAATACTGTATATTATGAGGATGATCTGTATTGTGAGTACAGACTTCCTTTTAACCGTAGGTTTTTAAGGATATCGTAAATGACGGAGCCACTACCTCGCATCATAGAGATGTCCGTATTGAGATAAAGGTTGTGCCAACTTTTGCATTGAAATGATAATTAATTTTCGCAAGATACTCTCTTGCTGTTTTAAATAGAAAGGAGATCTTACTTGGAGTGTTGTAGTGTACCGGCAACGATACAGGTTCAACTGTACCTTGAATTGAGGTATCGTCCATCATGAATCTTTGTTTTCTGGAATGCATTTGAGCAATGACATCCTCGACAGCCAGCAACCTTGCATCGTGATCATTAAACTTCAACTCGATCCTAATGAATCCAGCAGAATAAAGAAGCAAACACAAAACTGTCAAAACTGTACCAGCGTTAAGGCAAACGGCTCCGCTTTTAGAAGACATCTTGTGCACAAGATAATTATAGTACTGTATGTGAACTATTCTGCTATTTAATACTCTGCTAATGACTGATTTGAAAGCGGATTTCCGTTTCAGCAATAACTTGTGCTTTTAAGTCATGGTATCAGTTATCGACACATGTACGAGTTCCAGTTATATGAATAGGATGGTTTGTTGAATCAAATAAATCAATTATTTGTATCATCTGATTAACCTTCTCCTATTTGGGAGAGCGAAGTGAGCCGCGCAAGAACATGCGAGCAGGCGGCGAAGCCGTGAGGGGCCTCCCGCGTTCGTGTCCCCCCTCGTGCGTCTTGAGCTTGCTCGCAGGCTATCATCCGAATGAAGCTAAGGAACGGACCATTAGAAAACTTTTGGGAGGGGGGGGGGGCGCGGGGGAAGTAAAAAAAAAAAAATTAGGGAAAGGGAAAAAAAAATTTAAAAAAAAAACAAAAACAAAAATGAATCATAAAAAAAAAATTTAAAAAAAAAAATTCACATAGTCCTAAACATACAA